TTGTTAACCATTTACCTGTTCAAGGACATCAGGGTTGTTTCCAATTTGGGTCCGTTATTAGTAAAGCTGCTATGAACATTCATGCTTAGGTTTCTTTGTATGAACATAAATCCTTATTTCTCTGGGGTGAATGCCCAGAAGTCAACTTGATGGATCATACTGTAAATTTTTTTTTAATGTTGATTTATTTTGAGGGAGAGAGAGACAGCGTGTGAGCAGGGGCGGGGCAGAGAGAGAGGGAGACAGAGAATCCGAAGCAGGCTCCAGGCTTTGAGCTGTCAGCACAGAGCCCAACATGGGGTTCGAACTCACAAGCTGTGAGATCATGACCTGAGCTGACGTTGGACGCTCAACCGACTGAGCCACCCAGGTGCCCCGCGTAGTTACCTGTTTTCCAGAGGGGCTGTGTCATTTTACATTCATGTCATCAGTATAGGAGTGAACTGCTGTCTCTGCCTCCTCACCAAAATTTAGTGTTGCTACTGTTTTGTTTTTGGTTGTTGGGTTTTTTTAGCCACTCTCATACGTGTGTATCAATATTTGATTGTGGTTTCAACTTGCATTTCTCTGGTGGCTAATGATGTTACACATCTTTTCATGTGCTTATTTTCCATTTGCATATCCTCTCTGATGAAATGTCTCTTTATTACTTTTGTCCATTTTCCACTGGATAGTTTGGCCTTTGACAGTGTAAAATTTTTTATTTTGATAAAATCCAACTTATTAATTTTTCTTTTATGGATTGTCCTTTGGGTGTCATGTTTTAAAACTATTTGACTTGGTAGAGGTTCCAAAGATTTCCTGTATTTTACTCTAAAAGTTTTATTAAATTTTTTTTTTATTTAACATTTATTTTTGAGACAGAGAGAGACAGAGCATGAACAGGGGAGGGTCAGAGAGAGGCAGACACAGAATCTGAAACAGGCTCCAGGCTCTGAGGTGTCAGCACAGAGCCCGACGCGGGGCTCGAACTCACGGACCGTGAGATCACAACCTGAGCCGAAGTCAGACGCTTAACCGACTGAGCCACCCAGGCGCCCCTACTCTAAAAGTTTTATAATCTTATGTTTTAATTGAAGTTTGTGATCCCTTTTGAGCTAACCTTTTTTATACCTTAGGTCAAGGTTTTTTGTTTTGGTTTTGTGTTTTGTGTTTGTTTTTTGCTTATGGAAGTCCAATTGTTCAAGCACCATTTGTTGAAAAGACCATCTTTCTTCTAGTGAACTGTCTTTACACCTTTGTCAAAAATCAGATCTGTTCCATTCATGTTTCTGACAATATCATGTAATTTTGATTACTGTAGTTATATAAGTCTTGAAGTTGAATAATTCATCCTACTTTCTTCTTAGCAAGGTTATTTTACCTATTCTAGTTTCCTTTGGTTTTCATATACATTTTAAAATAATCTGGTCTATATTTACAAAAACTCTTGCTAGGATTTTCATAGGAATTGTGTTAAGACCTTTATGCCATTTGGGAAGAATTGACATCTACACTATATTGACCCTTCCAATCCAAAGACCTTGTATGTCTTTTCATTTCTTTAGATCTTTTTCTTTATTTCTTTCATTAGTGCTTTGCAGTTGTCAGTGGAAGAGTCCTGTGTGTGCTTTTATTAGACACACACCAAAGTATTTCATTTTTTGAGCAATTTTAAACGTTATATTTTTTTAATTTTGGTGTCCACCTGCTTACCGTTAGGATGTAAAACTACATTTGATTTTTGTATATTGATCTGCTAAACTGTGACTTTACTGAGCTCACATTTTAGTTCTTAGAGGTTTTTTTTTGTAGATATCTCTTAAAGTTTTTTATGTCGACAAGGGCATCATCCATCTTTCTTTCGTATCTGTATGCCTCTTATTTTCTTCTGTCTATTCCTTTCTCACCTGTATGCTTTTATTTCCTTTTCTTGCACTAGTGCACTGGCTAGAACTTCTAGTATTATGTTACATAAGAGTGGTGAGAGTTACATCTTCACTGTGTTCCTCATCCTGGGAGGAGAAGCATTCAGTTTTGCAACATTAAGTATAATGTTGCCTGCAGGATTTTTGTATTTGCTTTTTATCAGATAGAGAAACTTTCCCTCTATTTTTAGTCTTCTGAGCGTTTTTATCATGCATGGGTGTCAAATCTCATCAAATGCCTTTGCTGCATTGATTGATATCATCATGTGATTTTCTACTTTAGCCTATTAATGTGGTGAGTTACATTGGTTGATTTTCAACTATTTAACCCACCTTACATGCCTGGAATAAACTTATAATGGTGTATAATTTTTTATATATATTGCTAAATTCTGTTTGTTAATATCTCATTACGGTTTTCAACATCCATATACATGCAGGATATTGGTCTGGGGTTTTCTTTCATCCTTTTTTGCTTTTTTGTGAGTGTTATATCTTCATTTAGTTTTTGCCATCAGAGTAATAATAGCTTTATGTGATGAATTAAAAAGTACTCCTTCTTCTGTTTTCTGGAAGACATTGCATAGAATTGGTGGTGTTAGTACTGTTTTTAAATGTTCGGGAGAATACTTCAGTGACACCATCTGTGCCTAAAAATTTCTTTTTTGGGGGTTTCAAAGTCATGAATTCAATTTTCTTAATGTTTATAGAGCTATTCAAATGATACATTTCGTATTGGGTGAATTGTTAGTTTTGCTTTTGAGGAATTAGTCCATTGCATCTACACTGTCAAATTTATGCATGTGGAGTTGTTCATAGTATTCCTTGGTTATCCTTTTATTATCTGTAGAGTCTGTAGTGATATTCCTTGCTTCATTCCTGATATTGGTAAATTCTCACCCTGTTCCCCCCTCTTGTTCCTCTTCCTGGAGATCTGTTGGTTTTATTGATCTTTTTGAAGAACCAACTCTGTTTCATTGATTTTCTCTACTGTTCTGTTTTTTACCTTCATTGACCTCAGCTCTTACATTTGTTATTTCCTTCCTTCTGAGCATTTTTAGTCTATCTTGCATTTTTTCTAGATCCATGACATGAGAATTTCTATTATTGAGGCTTCTCTTATTTCTAATGTGTGTATATAATGCTATAAGCTACTTTTGCTTAGTGGTTTTAGCTGTATCCTGCGATTTTTGATGTCTTGTGTTTCATGTTCATTAAATTCCTTGCATTTTTTTGTTTTCCTTTAGACTTTTTCTTTGACCTGTGGATTATTGAGCAGTGTGTTCTTTACTTTCTGCATGTTTGAAATTTTCCCTTTATCTTTCTTGTACTGATTATAATTTAATCCCATTGCGGTCAGAGAACACAGTCTATATGATTTCCGTCTCTAAATATATTCAGGTTTGTTTTATGATTTGCGAGCAATGGAGAAGAATGTGTATGCTGCTGCCTTTAGGTGAAGTGTACTATAACTGTCAGTAAAATCTTGATTGATGATATTGAATTATTTTATATACTGGGTGATGTCCTGTCTAGTTGTTTTATCAACTGTTGAAGTCTCCACCCACAACTGTGGATATGTCTATTTCTCTTTTTAGTTTGATTACTTTTTGTTTCATGTATTTTGTAGCTCTGTTGTTTGGTGCATACACGTTTAGGATTCGTATGTCTTCCTAGTTGATTGGCCCTTTAATCATTATACAGTGCTCCTCTTTGTGTCTAGTGGTTCTTTTTGCTCCAAAGTTTATCTGATATTAATGTAGCCACTTCTGCTTTTCTTTGCTTAATGCTTGCTAACATATCTTTTTTCATCCTTTTGCTAGCAACCTGCTTATGTCGTTATATTTGAAGTGAGATGTGGTTTTGGTTTTTGTTTTTTTAGACAGCATAATTGTTGGGTCCTGTTTGTAATCCCCTCTGCCAATCTCTGTTACCCTTACCTTTTTTTATCCGTTCCTCCTTCTGTTGTCCCCTTTCACTTGCTCTGCCTCAGTCACACAGACCCCACTGCTCTTCCTCGAACTGAAGAGGCATCTCCTCAGGGCCTTTGCTGTCTCTGGCCCCTCTACCAGGAAAGGTGTTTCCTGTGGCAGAGGCTGCTCCTTCATCCTCCTCAGGCTTACCCAAATGTCAGCACCCTACATAAAATAGAAACTTACCACTCCTACCATGCTCCCACACTCCTTCCCCAATGTAGTCATCTCTCCGTCAGTGACCACAAAACATGGTTTTCCTACTTCTTTTGTTTACAGTCTGTGACACCCAGCATAATAAAACCCGGCTGCTGGGTACCTGGGTGGCTCAGTCAGTTAAACGTCCGACTTCTGCTCAGGTCATGATATCATGGTTCATGAGTTTGAGCCCCGCATTGGGCCCTGTGCTGACAGCTCAGAGCCTGGAGCCTGCTTCAGATTCTGTGTCTCCCTGTCTCTCTCTGCCCCACCCTTGCTTGCTCTGTCTCTCAAACATGAATAAACATTAAAAAATTAAAAAAAAAACTCAACTGCTAGATCTCCTGAGTCTAGAGTGGAGTTTGGCACCTAGTAAATTTCAATACTTACATGTCGAATGAATGCAATAATTAAAGAAATGCCCCCTGGCTCGCATTTGTGCATTCTTTCCCTCTCGTCTGTTCTCCAGTAGCAATGACCTTCTTTTACATCCTCCAGTGAGACAAGCTTTATACATCAGGCCTCAGGACCTCAGTGCATGCTGGTCCCTCTGCCTGGGGTCTGTCTCCTCTCCATTCTCAACCTTGCTGCCCAGCTAACCAAACTCGTGCAGAGGCCAACAGTACCTCACAAAAGCTTTCTCTGACCCCTCCTACTAGGTCAAGTTCACCAGTGAGAGGCTTGCTTAGCGTTGACCACATTTTGTAATTAATATTTGTTTGGAGGATTATTTCATTAACGTGTGTTGCTTCTACTGGACATGAAAATCATTGAAGACAGAGAATGTCTGGTTTGCTCAGGATTATATTCCTAGCACCTCGCATAACACCTGACATATGGTGATAGTAAACATTTTCCAAGTGAATAAAATAGTAAATCAGTGAGTAAATGAGTACTCACTTAAAATTTGTCTACCTTGCAGGAGTGATCGAAGGGATCAAAGATGGTAGGAGCAGTTGTGTGCTGCTAACCATAGAGGTCTCACCTGTCTACGGAAACCTAACTGAACAGGTAAGAACATGTTTGGATACCCGAGAGCGAGGTCGGAGGGGGCAGTGGGCTATCTTTCCTCTTTGAAGCTCACGTGATGTCCTCTGCGGAGTTGGGGAAGGTGGCATGGAAATACTAGTGTTTCTCATCCACAGCTCTACTGACGTTTTGGCTAAATAATTCCATGTTTGGGGGGCTTCCTGTCCCTTGTAGGATGTTCAGCACCATCCTCGGCCCGTACCTACTGGATGCCCATAGCAGACATATCCATTGCCGTTTGTGACAACCAAATTGGCTCCCGACACTGCCCAATGTCCCCTGGGGGGAAAAATTGCCCCAGACTGGCACCACTGAAATAGATCTGATGTTGAGAGAGCATGAAAAAAAAATATTAAGAGAAATGAGAGAGGAAGAAAACGAGCTCATACGTGAGAGAGAAAATGAGGATGACAATAAACGAATGGAATCAGGTCTCATTTAATGACAGTTAGAAACAATTGAGGGCCCTGCCGATCTGGGCCAGTGACTTTGTGGTGCCCCAACACATCAGGATTTGCAAGTGCATTATTTTCTGTGGAAGTGCACGACATGGCTAAAGAAGTTAAAAATACAGCTCATGTACTGGCCCAAGCTTGGGACTTTTGCTTACCAAATGCCAGTGAAACACTAGGGTGAGAATAAGGGCTTTAAACTTCTGGGGTGCCTGGGTGGTTCAGTTGGTTGAGCGTCCAACTTCAGCTCAGGTCATGATCTCACAGTCCTTGAGTTCGAGCCCCACGTTGGCCTCTGTGCTGACGGCTCAGAGCCTGGAGCCTGTTTCAGATTCTGTGTCTCCCTCTTTCTTTCTCCTCCCCTGCTCATGCTCTGTCTCTCTTTTCTCAAAAATAAATAAACGTTAAAAAAAATGTTTAAACTTTTGCAGGAGAGGCAGAGAGAGCTATACCTGTCATTACCAGTTCCCAAACTTTGCCGCCTTTTCAAATCTCATAGGGAGCTTTGTAAAATCCTAGTGCTCAGTTCACACCCCATAGCAATGAAATGGGAATTGCTGGGGACGGTGCCAGGCAGCAGTGATTTTGTAGATCTCTACGTGATTCCAAAGTGCAGAATAGTTTGGAAACCCCTGCACTCTTAGCATGAAGCTCTGTATCACCCGGGAACCTGTTAAAAGTGGCAGTTCTCAGGCCTGCCTGAAACCTACAGAATCAGAATCCCTGAGGATAAAGACCTGAGCAAGATCTTTGGATTAATGTACACTCGATTTTGAGATTCAGTGTTCTCTAAAAAAGAGCTCTTGGCGATGCATGAAACAAATCGTTGAGAAGTAGTGCACCCTCTGTTTTGTCCTTGTGGAACGGGGAGACTAGGTGTCCTTCGGACGCTGAGGGTGGCATCCACGTGGGCATGTAACGTACTGTAAAGAGCAGCCAGGGGCCAGGGGAGGGCCACTCTGTTCCGTGTGGTGCCACACACACGCACACAGGCAGGGTGTTCTTTCAGAGCACACGTCACATATACAGTTTTGTTTCCTGTTCCCGTATCGTACAGTTTTGTTTCCTGTTCCCGTATCAAAGATGACTGTATCATCCTTCCACGTGAGAGGACGTGCAAGTAGGAAATGTTCAGCATGTTATTTGCATCACCTCATGGAGTTCCTGTTCATGGTGCAGACTTTGTGAACAAAACCCACAGGACCCTCAGTCTGTCCAGGTGAGGACTGTGCAACCCACATGTCAGGTCTCAAGCTTTGGGAGGCTCACTTGTGAGCTACCTACCACCTTGTTGGGGGGGATTTTGTTTGTTTGTTTGTTTCTGCTCTGAGTCTGTGCTGGTACGTGTGGGGGTGGTGAGGGAGTGGAGGTTTTCTTAGAGAATCCTGGGGCTCTCTAATTTGCATGAGATACGATAGAGCCAAATTGTTTTTCCTGCCTTTAATTATTTCCTTATTTGCCTGGGTTGGAATCCTCCTACCTAGTTCCAGCAGCATCCTTCCTCACTTTCCTGTAGGGGGAAATTACTTGCATAGCCTTTTCATCTGCAATTACCCACGGCTGCCAAGAAATGACTTTCAGTAGACTGCAGTAGAATCTGTGAATACAAATAAAGACAGGGCTTATCAAATAGCATTCAGAGCATACCCCAGTTTCCGCTTGAGAAGAAAAATAACAATTAATGAGGAATCTGAGTTGAAAATTCAGCTGATGAGAGAATTAATATATAGATGTGTGGGCAGGGAGAGAAATACATTATATTAACTGGGTTAATGAAACCCCCCCAAAGAGTGAGAATAATGGTCTACTTCTCCAAACATAAAAATGAAACAGTAAAAAAAGGAAAATATATTTCCTTAAATTTCTTTTCTGTTATCTTTAGATTACGTCTATTATGTTGCCTTTACATTAAATGTCAATCCCCAGAGGTGGTGTTATTTCATACGGACTTTGATTCAGCCCCTACGTGCAAACCATATGCATGTAAATTCCTAACACACTGTAGAGGCATCTCTTTACAGAATTTCTGAACCACCCAGAACACAAGTCAGAACCTGGAAGGGCTTTAGGATTTTCTCTGAAACAACCAAACAAGATGTCTCAATTTATCTCTTCCAGAGCCATGGTTCTTAATGGTTTCAGTTAACCCAAAATAGTGACAGACCGTCTTAAGGACAGCTTGTTATGTAGTGAGCCTTTGGCATCCGGGATGAGTGTGGGGCCCACCATGGGTACTCGGAAGCATTCTCAGTGTTCCTTGTCTGATTTCTTTCATCCTCACAAAGGTCCTATGGGTAGATATTTACCATTGTTAACCTCATTGTACATGAGAGGGAACTGAGACAGAGAGACTAGGTAACCAAGGCCTCCCAGCTGGACAGTGATAGAGCTGGGATCTGAACTCAGGAAATATAGCTTCCGAGTCTGTGGCATATCCACACCGCTGTGCTGTCCTTCTCTCCACTAATACACAAGACAGGCTACGAATCTATGAGCACATTTTAATCAGTACCTTTGTTTATTTTTAAATGCTTATTTATTTTGAGAGAGAGAGCAGGGGAGAGGCAAAGAGAGAGGGAGAGGGAATCCCATGCAGACTCCATGCTGTCAGCACAGAGCCCCACGTGGGGCTCAAACTCACAAACCATGAGATCTTGACCACCGAAACCAAGAATGAGAGGCTCAACCAACTGAGCCAACCAGGCGCCCCTAAATCATTACCTTTAAATACATACATCTGTGAACAATGGTTCACCACTGGTCAGTTGGTCCTGAGAGAAGGGTGAGTGCCGTTCCAAAGGGACTTAAAAAAAAATACATACATCTGAAAAGTGGTGATACGTGTATTGCAAGCTATTTTACCTAGTTTCATAGACCCAATGCTCCTGCCCCAACACCGACTGGAACCCACCACTCCAAAGCCCAGATACATTGCTATCAGGAGAGTTTCTTAATCATAATACAGCACTTACATACTTTATCTTCAGATACAGTGGCACTGAGCTTGACCACCTGGTTTTTAACTCCACGGCAGATTATAAGCAGAGCATATTGTTAAAAACCTTGAATTTTGACATCAGAGCGCCTTAGTCTAATCCCAGGCAATGCCAACTTTGTACCTCGGTTCTCTTGCTCAGGTGAATTAACGTATCCAAATGTGATCTCTCACATATAAAAGGTCCACAGAGAACTTAGGATTTAATGAGATATAATGCCTGCAAAGGACACCGGCGTGTTGGACGCAGTGAGTTCCCAGCCATGGCAGCTGGTGATAGTCCGGCAGGTGATGGCATGACAACAGCCATGACAGGAGCTGTGAAGATGCTAGATGGTCATTAATAGCCAGGCAGCCTCAAAGCCAAATGTCAAGATCCATAATTACATTTTTTTTGAGCGTCAGAGTTTTCTTCAGAAACACAGCTTTGGCAATGTTAATAAAGGCTTTTTAATGGAACCAGTTTACAAACTGGCAAAGAGGAGCTTCGGGGAGGTACTTGGATCTGTTTTTGATAAGTCATGTGGAAAGTGGAACTTTGTCTCCCTGCTCTCAAACACAGGGAAGAAGCATATTTTTCTCAGGTCCCAGAATCACCAGAGTGATGGCTTCCTCTCCCGCCTGCACTTTCTCCACATTATCCCCTCGGGCGCTACGTCATCTCGTCTTTTCCACAGTCCCCCGACAGGAACTTCTGGAACACCAATCAAGGCCACATATAAAAGAGGATCATATCAGATCAGACCGTAGGTTGCAAACGAAATAACTAGTTACATTTATTACCAATCAAAAACGTATTTGCACAGAAGATATACTTGCAGGAATTATTCAAATAGAAACCTTCAGCTGGGTTAAGAATGGAATCGTTGCTGATCAGACCCATCAGTCACTTTTGCAATGATATACAATTCCTGTAAAAGCTCCCTCGTCCTCGTGATTATGTAAAAGACCTGCTTTTGAGAAAGCAATCTTTATTAATGAGCCATAAATTCAGTCTCCCCACTGCCTGCTGCAGAATTTGGTAGGAGTCTGGTGAAAAAAAGATTCAGAATCATGAATAGGCTGTTTAAAAGCCTCATTATAGCTGTTTTGTGATTAAATCTTCATTATGCAGCCATTTATGAGGGCGTCTCACCACACGCAGTAGCTGCCTCTGTACCTTCCTTCCTCTTCCCGTCATTGACATGGTTGTCAGAAGAGAAAGCGGCCGACGTGGGCTTATCAGGAAGAGTCAAGCAATCCCACCCATTAGTATGATGTGATTTTATTTTACAAACTGTTTAACAGCTGGGTGAAGGACAGAATTGTGCAGGAAAGCCCAGGTGCTTATCAAAAGGAAAAGGATCATTATCAGTTCTGCAAAGTGATCGCCTACAGTCCGGCTGGCAGTGAGGAAATCGTAAACCGCTTCTCCCCTGGAGCAGGTGGCAAGTTCACTCCTGAGGTTTGGGAGAAGGGTCCCTTTACTCCCGGATCCTTTGTGCCACGGAACACATAAAGTGTAATCCTTATGCACAATCTCGAGAATTTCTCTCTCATCTCTCCCTGCTGTGCCCACTTGCCTTGAACTTCATGTCAGGACTCGCCCCCTACGAGGCCAGGCCCCTGAACGTACAGTGTCAAGAATGTCAGAGGTTGGAGGATTCTACCGGAAAGACAGCCGGGCTGGGTCAGAAGGTCTGGGTTCTAGCCATACCCACCATTTACTCGCGGTTGGTGTAGGTGGTGTCAGAAGTATGAAGCATGTCTCCGTAGTATGTGCGTTATTATAGCGAGTATAGACAATATGGACAGAAGACGTGATAGAGCTGGTTCTCAAAGCCTTCATGAAGACATGAGAATTTGAGCTGAATCTGCAGGACGGGTGTAATTGAAAGTCTCCACTGTGGAAATCCGTATTCAGTGAGAACACTTGAGAATGAAAACCCCACAATGTGGGAAAAGCTTAGAGAAAGAGACGGTCAGCAAATAATTGTAGTGTGTTAGCCATTCTGCTGTGGCTCAGCATTCCTCCTTGTGTGCCTCAGCTACTGGGTAAAACCCATTATGTAAGGTTATTTTTATCGGCGACCTTGAACAAAATAAACTTGCCCTCAACTCCAGGTTATAGTTCCCACATACGGGTTATTGAAGGCCGTCAAGAAGGCATTCCTGAAGACTGTGTCTTTAGGAATGCTCCTTTTAGGAAAGCCAATCATTTTTATCTGTTAGCTTTGGGTCTATCTTTTCAGAGAGGTATAGAAATACTGAGGTCTTAGAGGGTCCCGTCCAGATCGGTCTCCATCTCAGTCCCCCAGGGGCCATCCAGAAGGCAGTTTCTTCGGAAATATCTAGGCTAAGGAACAGGTGGGAGTGTGCTATGTAGAGTAAGATAAACAAATGATTTAAGATTAAGGCCTCACATAGAAAGAGGCTGTTGAACCACCAAATGGCCGAGTTTTGAAGGAGGCCCTCAGGAAATGGTGGTTTCCAGCAGCCGTGGCTGGCTTGTCCGTCTGCGTGTGCGTCCATAGGTAGATTTACCTGCTCTGGAACACATTGAAGTGCTTTCCAATTAACTGTAGTGGTCGCCATATTTTATTTTTCTCTTCTATTTCCTGCTGCTACATATGTTTGTAACACTGGGATGGCCCCGAAGTCACTGGATGGTTGGAAGCTTCAATGAAAGAGTCTGTGAAACCCAGATGGTTTCACCAGCAAATTTCACAAACATTTAAGGAAACAATGATACCGATGTACACAAAATTTCCCATAGAATAAGAAAAGAAAGAATATTAACCACTTTGCTTTATGAATTGCCATAAACTCACAAGGGTAATGCAAGAAACAAGATCTATGGGCCAATCTCACCCATGAATACAGATGCAAAAATGCTAATCAAAATATTAGCAAATTGATTTCAGCAATGTGTAAGTATATATTGTCATGGTCAAGTTGGATTTATTCTAGAAATGCGAACTTGTTGTCAATGTGGTAAGTCACATAAATAAGAGAAGACTATGTGATCATCTCAATGGGCACCAAAAAATAGGTGTTTGATAAAATTCAACATCTCTTTATTATGAAACTTTCAGCACGTTAGTAGTAGAAAGTATATTCTTTAACCTGATAAATGGGGGCGCCTGGGTGGCGCAGTCGGTTAAGCGTCCGACTTCAGCCAGGTCACGATCTCGCGGTCCGTGAGTTCGAGCCCCGCGTCAGGCTCTGGGCTGACGGCTCGGAGC